CCCAGCCCCCTCTCCCCATTCCCCGGGGCCAGGAGCACTGAGAAGCACTTTTCTGCCTCTCCTGGGGCCACTGCTCAACAGCAAACAAGTCAACAGCAAGGTGGCCACCGCCCTGCCCTCATGGGCTTAGAATCTGGGGCGAGGCGAGGGGGGGGTACATTAAACAGAGATGAATTCTCTGGGGGAAACCAGATGGGTGGCAGTGATGTGGCCTGAGGGAGGGACCAGGCTGCTTTAGGTAAGGTTACCTGGGGAGGGCTCTCCGCACAGCGACACTGAGTGGAGCCTCGATAGAGGGCGCTGTGAGCCATCATAAGGATTCTCAAGGTTAGTCTAAGGACACAGGAAAGCCATATGGGCAAGGAGGGGATCTCTAATGCATGTGTTGCCTAAGGACATTCAGGTGTCCACTGGGTAGAGAACGGATAGAGAATGGAGCAGTAGCAGCTGCCAGGAGACCAATTAGATAGTTGGATGGATAGATAAATAGGTAGATTCCTTCTTTTTAAATAAAAATGGGCTTAGACAGCACAAATTGCTCTGCTTTTGTTCTTTGTTCTTCCAGAACTTTCAGGTCAGAACATGCAGCTCCAACCCCAACGTGGCAGCTGTTTACCCTCTGGGCTGCAGCCCTGCTTTGGAATAGATCTTTTCCTTTTTCCAATCTGAAGGGTAAAAAACACCTCATAACGAGGTAAACACCAAAAACGAAGTAACTTTGGGTTATAGAACCCGAAGTGGAATATAAATATCCATGAGTTCATGCTGATATGCCTACATAATTGAATAAATTAATAGGTGAGGGAGAAGAGATGAATCTGTGCAGAATTCCAAATATATAGATACTTTACTGTAAAGAAGGGGGACATAACTCCACGCTCCTTAACAGTGGGCCGCTCAATAATGACTTCCTTCTAGAGAGTATCCTGTGGAAAAGGAGGGTACTGTGCTAAAGCAGAGGAATCTGACAAAGTTCAAAGTCAACATCAAGAATTGTAAGTCACTCTAACAGCATGGACCCTTGATATAACGCTTGACAGTGGCACTCTACCTATCCCCAAAATCCATAGCCCCAGCCTATGAGGAAAATATCACACAAATTTCAATAGAGCAGCATCCTACAATATGCTTGACCAATACTCTTCCAACTGTCAAGGTCGTCAAAAACAATGAAGTCTGAGAAAGGGTCACACACAAGGGGGAGACTCAGGAAGAATGATGACTATATGTCATGGGGTATCCTGTAATGGATCTTAGAACAGGAAAAGGACACTAGGTAAAAATTAAAAAAATTTGAAAAACTATGAACTTTAATTAATCATAATATATCAATATTGACTCATTAATTGTGGCAAATGTTCCACACTGATATATGTTGTTAATAACAGGGGAAGCTGGGGGTGGGTGGTGGATGGGAACTCTCTGTACTATCTACTCAGATTTTTTTTTTCTGTAATTGTAGAACTGCTCTCGAAAATAACGTCCATTAATTTTTTAAAATACACAACTCATTGTTGTTTTAAATTGCATTTCCCTGACTCCCAGTGAGGCAGAATCTCTTTTCACATATATCTTCTGTAACCACTTGTTTATGCCATAACCTATTTGTTATTTTTTTGTCTTATTGGTTCATAGTTTATTTTTTATAGAAGGGATAGTAATTCTTTGTTACATATTGCAAATATTTTTTCAGTCTACTGTTTATTTTTTATTTTATTTATGGAACCTGTTGTCACACAAATAATTTTTCATAACCAAATCCATCTCTCTTTTATGACTTCTCAGTTCCCTGTCTTAAGAAAAGTTTCCTCATCCCCATGTTAAAGAGTTAGTCTTCTAAATTATCTTCTAATATTTTTAGTTTCTGTTAATATAATTAAGTTGGTTTTTTTTTTAATCCATCTGGGATCTATTTTGTAGGTGGTGTCAGAAGCCAGGGGAGGATTTACCTTTATTTTCTTCCAGATGGATCACTGATAAAACAGCATCATTTACTAAGTAAATTGACACTTCCCCTTGGACAGATGATTCCCTCAAAGATCTCTGACTGTTTCCAGGTGACCATCATCCCTGGTTCTCTATGCTACCTCAACATCCAGTTCAAAAGCCCACATCTACCTTCTCAAAAGCTGTCGCCATCTGTCTCCTGTCCACCCATCTGGAACCAACCTTTCCCTCACCTGGCTTCTCACTGAACTTATTAATTGCACATGTAAATATTGAGCCCCTCCTGGGCGTCAGGTGCTGAATCAAAGCAGACAATCCTAGACTTCCCAGAGTTCACAGTCTGGGTGAACTCCTAGAAGTGGTGAGAGGAGAGAGGAGAACAAAGTATGATATAGTTTAGGGAGCCAGGTGGGGGTGCACACCTGTGATCCCAACAACTTGGGAGGCCAAGTTTGAGGCCAGCCTGATCAACTTAGCAAGACCTGTCTCAAAAATAAAAGAAAATAAAAAAGTACAAGGGCTGGGAGTGTAGCTCAGTGGTAGAGCACCCTAGATTCAATCACTAGTACCCCCCCAAAAAAAATTGTGTGTGTATGTGTGTGTGTGTATAAGCTTAAGGGCAGGTGACTTGAGGTACAATGGTGGGAGGGTTTTCCATTCCATTTTAGAAAAACCTCGGGAGGAAGTGATGCCTGAGCTGGGTTAAGCCTCCAATGGTGAGAAAACCAAGAGGCAGGAAGAGGAGTTCGGGCCGAGGGAACAGCATGTCCAAAGGCACAGAAGGCCGGAGGGGGCTGCAAATGACTCAGAGGCCAAATAGGGGGTGAGGAAAGAAAACGAGAGGGCCTTAGGGTGAGCAGGGCCAGAGCACCTATAAATGTGCTAGAGTTTAGTGTCTCGTGAGAAGCAGCACACTGCCATCAACAGGCCACCACCCCACTCCCACATGCACACCCCACCGTGCCATCAGGTACTTAGTACTTTTCTTTCAATTACTATTGCCCCCAAATAAATTTACTTTAAAGGGACACTTCGTGTCATAAATGGAAAATCAGCATCCCTTGCCATAAATAAAATAGAAGAAAAGTCTTAAAAAGAAACATGTTTCTATTAAAATTTAAAATTTCCATCTGTATTATTTAAAAAGGACTCTTCTAGCCAAGTCACACATACCTCACTTCAGGAAACACAGGCTTGGCAGATCCAGGGCTCTAGGGACCCGGCTGCCTGGGTTCCAGTCCCGGCTCTGGGGAGTTCTAGCTGTGAGTCCTTGGGAATGTCTCTTATCTTTCTAAGCCTCAGTTCTCTTCTGTAAATGTGGCAATAATAGAACCAGCCTCATTGGGCTGTGCAGTTAAATGACAGAATTTGAGCACTGTTTAGTGAACCTGCTCTGGCAACCTTGGGGCTGCAGAAAGACTTAAAAGCAACTGAATCAGGGGAGAGACACCATCTAGTTTGCATTCGAGAACCCCATCTCCTGCTGGCTCTCAGGGTGGATCTTAAAGGGCCCAGAGAGACTAATCCAAATACTGCTGTGGTCCCCATAAGCAATACAGAATCCTGCAGCTTGCCCTGGGGAGGAGAGGGTGCAGTTGATATTGGGGAGGAGGTGGGGTGAGAACAGAGACAAAGCTGGAGAGGAGATTCTCATGAGGGGCAGGTGGGGCCCTCCCTGGGGTGGAACACAGGGGTCTACAGATTTGTAAGAATGAATATGACAAGTATAACTTGGCTTATCTTGAGTTAGGACTGTGTCTGGAGGCTGCAGACTTCAGACCTGGCTTTCAGGAATGAAAAGTTTGTACCCTGGCTGAAGTCAGGCCTCCCATGAGCCTGTAAGTCCCTGAAGCAGGCAAGGCTGAGTTTGCATGAGTAGGTGTGGGCAGCCACACTCCCACAGTGGCCCAGGGTGAGCCAGAGGCAGAAAAGCATTATCCAAGTGGCATCCTTCCTGCTGCCTCTCCCTCTTCTAGGCTCTTTGTGGCAGCTGACCGCACCAAGGAGCAGCCCAGGCTAGGGCTGATTTCAGGCTGCGGCCACACCCAGAATCCTTCCCCTCTCCCCCATTTAAGAACTCTGGGGATTGGGGCACCAAAGAGGATCAATCAGGACCTCAAATAATTCAGAGGGAGAAAACAGGAGAGCCTTCCCTCTGAACCCCCTGTTGTTCTACCACCGCAGCCCTGTCTCTTCCTCAAAGCTCCTAGATTCTATCCCGTCTCTGATGGCATTTTAAGTTCCTGGATTCCATTTCCCCGCTAGAAGCCCAGGTCAGTGCTGCTATGGGGAGTCCTTCTACGCCCACCGTGCTTGATGGGGTTCCTGGTAAGCAGGAAGCCTGTGGAGCGCAGGTCGCTGTTCTCCTGTGGGCCGCCAGGCGTCACTACTAGCCTGGAAATAGGGAGCGCCGCGAGGCTCGTCCGGACGCCCCGGGGACAGTCTGCCCTGCGAGCAGCTGCAGAGCCTGGGTAGGCCTGGTAGGTGGCCCCAGACGCTCTGGAGACAGCTGCCAGTTGGCGTTATGGGCTCAATGTCTATCGGGAAAAGAAGGACAAGTGCGACCTGAATTCGGGCTAGTGTGGCTGCCCCTCTTGAGGCAAAGCCGGTGGCCACCGGTCAGGAGAGCGTGCGAACACCAGGGGCGCCCTTCCTCTCGGCCCACCTTGCGCCCCCTTTGGGTGTCTTCCGTGCACCGGAAACGGGAACTTCTGGCTGAAGATGGTTGTCGTGACCTTTTTCACAAATGAACAACCGGAGGCTCAGGGAGCCAAGTTGCATGAACCCCTGTCCCCCTCCCGCCAAACCTGTTTCCACTGACAGCTGCCTCCCTAGGTGTGCCAGGGCAGGAAGGCGACACTAGGAAATCTGAATTAGTACATGAATATAACAATAGCCAACGCAGCGGTTACCATTATTACCAACATGGGGGCACACAGAAGTTAAGTGATTTTGCCTACGACACCCTGGCAAATCTACGACGGGGAGGAGGTAATCTGGCTCCAGAGCTCAAGTGCACAACAAGGCCTCCGAGTCTCTGAGTAGGACGCATCTTTTTTTTTTTTTTTTTTTTAATTTTTAGATCGGGTCTTGCTAAGTTGTTTTGAGCCTCCCCAATTTGCTGAGATCCCCTTGCCTCAGCTCCCGGAGTCGCTAGGCTTACAGACGTGCGCCACCGCGCCCGGATACACCCTTCACTCTTGAAGAATACTTGTGAAGCCCCACTGTGCGCCCGGCAAGGGCAAGCAGGAAGGGCTTGAGCCCCACCACGCTCCTCCGCCGGGTAAAGGAGCGCGCAGCCTCGCCTTCTCTCTCAGGTGCCCGGCAGGTGGCGCACTGACCCCATTTCCCTCCGCCCACCACACCCGCACCGTCTCTCCGTCGCCCCTGCACAGCTGCTGTTGACCACAGCGACTTGGATCCAGCCGACAGGTGGCCAAGGGGGCAGCCACTGACCTGGTGCCAGGTGTTGGCTCCCTGCCAGGTGCCCTGTTGTCTAGCGACTTCGCTCAGGCCCTGTTTTCTCCCTCGTGTGCTTCTCATCTCCCAAGATGCTGAAATGTAACAGGAAGGAACGGGCATGACTCCTTTTGTTCCGAGCTTTGCTGTTTACAAATCGCTTTCCACCAGTTACATCCAGACAAAAGTCCAGGGAGTGGGGTGTGCCCAGGAGAGTGCCGACTCTCTTACCTTTCCCACATCCTCACCCCCATGAAATGGGCAGGATGATCCCCCTTTGCAGATGGAGAAGCTGAGGCCCAAGAAGAGGAGAGACTGCCCCAAATCACTGGAGTGGATCTCAGAGCCAGACCCCTAATGCAGGGCTGCAGGACTCCACTTCTAGGAGAAGGTCCCCCCTCTGGCTGGTGAGGTCCTGTGCAGACAGGAGGATAGAAAAATGACCTCTCAGGACTGAGGTGTGTGCAATTTGGGATGTTAACAGCTTCCCTTCGGGCCTTCCAAGCCAGGAATTCCCTGCTGCCCCTCTGGTTCCCTTGTCCCCCACTGGGGTGTCTCCCCTCCCCTTCCCTCTGGTGGCTCTGGTGGCCTACTGCACACTCCCTGCTGGGCTGGCTTTTGCTTGCTCTTCCCACTTCACCCTGCAGGACTCTCCAGGCTTCCACACTGGCCAGTCTTGTCCCTCCAGGCTGAACTCCACTCTGCACCTGCTATTCACTGCACCTGAGCACCCTGAGCACCTTACAGGCCACCTGTTCAGGATGGGGCTACACATTCTCCCCCACACCTGTGTTCCCTGGGCCAGAGAGCTGGGGGCCAGCTTTGACCCTTCAACTCTCATGTCCTGTGTTTCCACCCGGTAGACATCTTTCAGGGCCATCCTTTCCTGTCTCCTCTGCTCCCTGCCACCCCTGCTGTCTCTGTCCTAATTCAGACTGCCATCAACCTCCCAGCCTCCAGTTTCACCTCTCAGCTTCACCCTTTCCACTGTTGCCAGAACCATCTTTCTGGTGATCCCTCTATAAAGGAAACATCTGATCCTGTTTGCAACTCACAATCACAACCAAAACAGATGCCTTTAATCACAGAATGAAACCCCAAACCCATACCCCCACCCATAAAGCCCTGGGTTCTCAAGCCCCTGCCACCCCCTCCCCCCCGCCCCGTGGCCTTATGTCCTCTCTCTGTCTTCACCATGCTCACCTTCTTTCAGCTCCTCCAAAGTACTAAGCACTCCCTGGGGTCAGGGTCTCCACCAGGTCGTTCCCTCTGCTGCAAGGCGCCACTCTGCTCTCTGGCTGACTCAGGCCTCCTCATCCTTTAGGCCTGAGTCAGTGAGGACCCCTCTTCCTTTCTCTCCTGGAACTTGCCTTTCTTCTTCCTTTGTACCACTTGCCCATCTCAGAGCTCATGTTTTCATGTGCTTTGCTATTTCATCTCTGTCTCCTTCACAGCCCAAAGTCTCCATGCAAATAAGGACTGCAGAACAGTAGAGACCGTTGGCAGCTGCACCCCACACCCAGCCCAGGACCGGACATAAAAGTAGACACTTGATAACTATTTGTGGAACAAATGAGTCTTTCATCCCATCCACCTCAGAACCCCACTCCCAGGCTTGCTTTTATCTCTGGCCTTTGCATGAGCTGCTTCCTCTGCCTGGAAGGTTCTTTCCTTCCCCTCCCACCTGAGCTGATCCATACATCATTTCAGACTAATCTCTCTGGGATCTGAGCTTGGCCTTTCATTTGAATTAGGGTTTCCCTCTAGGCCTCCCTAATACCTATACACAGCGCTCTATCCTAACACTTTAAAATTGCAAATTGCCAGCTAAACATGAGAGATTATCAACAATAATGATCTCCTTTCACCCGCCCCTCTCCCCAGACCTCTCCTCTCCGGCTGGCTCAATGGCATCTACTCTCTGCCTTTCAAACCATCGGGAACCCCATTTCCCATTCATTGGCTAAGCACTGAACAGGTGCCCACTGTGTTGTGTTCATTTCAGGAGCACTGGGGAGGCAGGGAGGAGGGAAGCCATATAGGCAGGATTCTTCCAGCCATGAGAGAAGCAGGGGAAGGCATCAGAGATGCTAAGCAAATGCCCCAGCCAACCCTAGTGGATACAGGGTGAGACTGGTGCATTCATTCCTCCCTCTTTAGATGAGCTCCTACTATGTGAACTGCATGGTGGGGGAGGGGCTTGGGGGACAGAGGATCGTGAGCCTGAAAGGCAGGCACACCCTGGGTATCACCGGCAGAGCTGTGTGATCCTGCTTGGTACACAGCGCACTGTGTCTGCAGTCTTTCTACCTGCCCTGGGAGCAGCTGGAGGGACCAAGGTTGGGTTGAAGTGGCTGAAGGAATCTCAACTACACCCGGTGGGTGGTCACTTTTCTGTCTCTCCCTTGCTGGGTCTCTCTGCTCCTTTGTGCCAAGGCTCACTCCTGACACTCCCTACACTGGGGTTTTACCACAATGAGGTAAGGTCCAGAGGCCACTTCCATCCATATCCCACATCCCCTGGGTGGGGCAGGGGCTATAAAAACACAAAGTCCTAGGTCCCCACCTCCATGGAGGTGGCACCTTAGATTTTGCATGGCATTCACCCTGCACTGTGCCTGCTCTGCTGGGCACACTCATGCCAGCCTGAGACCCTCCTGGAGTTCCTGGATCGACCCCACCTGCCTTCCTTGCCCCTGGACACCCACTTCTCCTGGGATCCTTTGGTGGTTCTCTTCCTCTGCCCATCTCTTAAATGCCAGCACACCCAGGGCACCTCCATCCAGGCCTGCTGCTCCTCTGGCATCTTCCATACTCCAGGCTCAGCTTTCTCCTGCCCTTGAATGGCCCAAAGCACCCAGAATTGGCATGATCAAAGCTGACTCCTTCACCCCCTCCCCAGGTCCCACCCTCCTCCTTCCCCTGTGGTGCCCCCTCATTGATCATCCAGCCTGTCACCCAAGCCACAGAAGTGGGCAGCAGGCTTCACTCCCTCTCTCCCCTCCCCCACCTCAGCATCAACCCAGTCTGATCTCTTTGCCTCCAAAAGATGTCTTCCACCTCCCCACCTGCCCCAGACCAGTGCATGCATCTCCTGATTGAGTCTCTCCCCTTCTCTCTTTCTCTAGCCTCTCCTCTTTCTAATGAACACTCAAAAAAAAAAAAAAAACCTTTCTAAAATGCGAATCTGGTATCATCACCAGCCTACTTAAACATTTTCAAAGGTGCCCCATGGACCAGGGTCCCAACCCCTTGACCTGACACGTAAGCTCCTCATCATCTGACCTGCCTCCCCTCCTCCCTCGGGGCTCTAGGAACAGCAAGCAGGCTGCTTCCAGGTCTCGCCTCCAGACCTGTGATCACTCAGTGCCCCCTGCCAGGGATAGCCCTTGCCTGGCCAAGAAACCTCCCCACAATCTCATGACACCTTCTCCAGAAAGTTGCCCCTGACCTTCCTGCCCCATCCCTCCCTTCCTTAGGGATCCGTATAATGCCCTGTGCGAGGATCTGGTATTCCATTCACCACAGTGGGTTATACCTATTAATTTTCATGTCTCTATTCCACACCAGTCAATGAGATCCTTGAGGGCAGGGATGGTGTCCCATTCATCTCTGTATCCCAGCCCCTGGCCTGGTGCCTGGCACTGAGGACAGGCTGCGCCGGTGGTTGATGGATGAATGCAGAGCAGAAACTTGAAGGAAGTGAGAGCCAGAAATGACCAAGAGGGGAGCGAGGGCAAGCCTAGCAGGAGAAGCAGCCCAAGCACATGTGTGGGAAGTAGAAAAGCGAGAACTTCCATTTATTGCACTCCTACGACTACCCGCCAGCCAACGCGCCTGCACTTTGTTTGCACATTTCATCTCATTTTGTTCTTGCAACAACAGATCAGGAAACTGGCATCAGAGAACCAAAGTAACCTACCCAAGGTCACACAGCAGGTCCTGGTCTGGAGTGGAATTTAGAACTGTCTGGCCTGAAAACGGAGCTCTTTCTGCTCAGCCACACTGCTCTCCTGGGGGGACAGGACCTTCTGAACTGGACAAGGAGTGGGCTCAGCTATGCCTCTGCCTAGCTGAGCACCGGAACTAGCTGCCCACGCTCAGCCTGACAGCTTCTTCCTTTCAGCCGGACTAGAGGCTGAGAGGCCAGACATGGATTTACCTGTTCCCTCCTCCCCTGGCTTTGGGGGTCTTTGGCTAGATGTACACAGGCCCCCAACACCGCCAGGAAGAGCTGCTGCCTAAGAACCTAGGGTGCCTGGAAACACAGGGGGCTCTGTGATGCTGTCTTGGTTCTGCAGAGTCTGTCTCCCTCTTCAAACTTGGCCCAGGCTGGTATTAAGATTCATCTGCATTCCCCGTGCACCCGTCTGGCAGATGGTGGGGGAGGAGGCTGGGTGTGTGCTGGGGGCTGCAGCCAGGGACCAAGCTGGACCTCAGAGGACCACAGGGAAGAGTGCATGCCCCCAAAACCCAGCCCAGGCTGGAACCACTCCAAATGCTGGGTACCTCCTCACCCTCACAGCCTCCAAGAGGTACCAGGGCTTGACCTTTTATTTTTTTAAAGACTAAAGAAGCCCTAAATGTCAAGCAGTGGGGTGATGGAGGATAGGCCCCTGCCTTTGGGAATCTAATATGAGGGTCTTGTTCTTCCTTCTTATCCTTCTGCAAACCTTTGCAGAGACCAGAGATCCAACTAGAGCCTCGGGAATCCCTCTCAACTTGGTGACCCTTCTGTGTCACAGAGAGGGTAAGTAGTGAACAACAGAGGGACAGCCTCCCGGGAGGCCTTGCCCACCTCATTCCCCTCCTTCTCAGGAGGCCTTGCCCCCTGTCCCAGAATCCAACCTAGTGCCTAGTGATTAGGACCCCAGACAAACGCTCCTCAGTTATTACTACGGTCTAGTGATACTCCCAGGTCCTCTAAGAAGAAACGGAATGCACCGTGATAACAAAAGGAGTGAAGGCTAGACACTTAAAAGACTACAATAGGAAGATGTCCTCTTAGAATGGGTTTGGAAAAAATTATCTTTCCAAATTCCAGGACTCAGGGTTGGGGGTAGGGCAGCAGATTTCTGATGCCTGCTTCGGGAAAACAGGATCCTGACAGAGGGGTTGAAAAGGTAGCGCCCTTATGCCTTGCTATCACCCTCTCTGTTCCTTTCCCAATTACTCCGCCCCACATCCTGCCCCCTTCGCTGGAGAGCCAGCGTCCTCAGTCCCCGAGCTGTGGGCCGGCAGGGGAGGAGTTAACTCCGGAGGTACCGACTGGGCTCACCGTACCTGCCGCCGCCGCCGCCGCCAGTGGGAGGGACGAGGAAGCCGGAGCCGCCTGGGCGCCAGGAGCGCTCCAGTCTGGCGGGGCGCAGCGCGGAGAGCGGGCGGCCGAGGCTCAGCGCAGCCCGGGGCGTCCGCCAGGGGGCGCGCTGCGACGGGGCGGGAGGGGCCGTCTGGTCTGGGGAATTAGCAACGGGGACGGGCGCGCGCGCTGGTCCCCAGCACATCTGGGCGAGAGCCGAGCCGCTGGAACCGAGAGGGGCGCGGAGCGCATATTTAGAGCCGCGGAGCCGCTGGAGCCCTTCGAGGCGCTCGGGGCACACATCTGGGACCTCGAGCGGGGACGCGCCGGGCACAGCTGGACTCGGTGTGGGGGGGCGGCGGCTGTACAGCTGGACCGAAGGGGGCGGGGTCGGTCCTGGGAGACTGGCTGAGGGGAGGGCCGCCAGCCGCCAAGGACTGGAGCATGGGACGGCGCGCCTAAAGGAGCAGGAAGGGGAGAAAGGGGCCTGGGACCCCGAAAGGAAAAAGAGAGGAAGGCGGACAAGAGCAGAAGAGGACGATGCAACTGACTCGCTGCTGCTTCGTGTTCCTAGTGCAGGGCAGCCTCTATCTGGTGAGTGGTCCGCGGGGAGCTGCGCGGAGGGGCGGGGGCCGGAGGATCGGGGGAGAGCGCGGGAAGCTTCTGAGCCCTGAAAGTTTCTCCCTTCCCCCGGTATCCCAGGGATGGAGGGGAAGACTGGAGGCTGGGGGAGAGGGCGGGTCCGAGGCCGGAGACTGGATAGATAGGGTTAATAGGGGCGGGGAGAGGGTGCTTGACTGGCCCACCCACTCCGCGGCTGGTGGCCGGAGGTGCGACTAGCACTAGGGAAAAGGCCTGGAGCCGGGTCGCCAAGGGTTATCCGACCCCTTCCCGGCACCCTGAGACGCGCGGAACGAGGATGGAGGGGTAGGTGTGGAGCCCGTGACCTGCCAGGTCAGGGGACACGGGTTTCTCCCCTGACCTCTGGGACCTAGAGAGCCCTGGGCTCTGGGTGCTCCAGCGCGCGGAGACGGTCCAGGCAGGGGGCGGCCCCCGCGTCCCTCCCTGCCGCCTTCCCTCCCGCTCCCTCCCTCCTCGCCTGTTGTTTTCCTCTCCTCTCCTGGCTGCGCGCAGCCGGAGCCCCACAGGACCTGGGCAGGCGGCTCCCGCCCCGGGCGCTCGCGGTAGATGAGTGGAGCGCCCTGAACCCGCTCCCCGGGCGCTGTCTCGCGGCTTCCCGGCGGCCCAGGACGCAGAGAACCCCACCCCCGACCCCAACCCAGGGCTTAACTCCCCTGCTACTCCTAGCCCGACGCCCCCCGCCCCACCCCGCCCCAAATCCATCCTGGAGAAGCCTCAGCTGCACATCTGGATCTGCCTCTTCTCTCAAAACAATAATCCCCTCTGCCCAGCACCCTCGTTCCACTGTTGGAAGAGCCCTTCCCTGCTTAGTCCTTACCTGCGGCCCTTTCAGCTGTGACCCCCAGGGATGAGTACATACAGGTGAGCAGCCCTGAACCAAGCCCCTGGAGTCTCCCTTCCCGGATGTTCCTGAACCCCACCAGGGGGCCTTCCAGGCAGGCCAGCCTTGGCCTTGGGGCAGAGATGGGCTTGGCCACAGCACAGTGGCAGGCCCTTCCAAGGCCAGAACAAGGGGTTCGAAACCCCCAAACTCCTTTGGCTATCCACATCCAGCAGCCCCATCCCATTATCACCATCAGACCCACACACTGCCGGCTGAATTGGTGTCCCTGGGGCTGGTGGCAGGCAAATGGGTGAGAACTCTCAAAAACTAAACAAATACACAAGCAGGCCACTGCCCTCAGGAAATCTTCTAACCTCCCTGAGTGAGGCCCTGCAGA